ATCTTCAGACATTACATTACCAGGAAAATTTATCCAATAAATCAAGCACGTTGACAAGCTAAATCCCTTGTTTTGAAGGTATTTCACCCAAAATGAAAGTTCAGTCATTTACTGGCAATTATCTCGTTCTACCGATGAAAAAGCCAAATAGGCTTTGAATATGATGGTTACCAGAAAAAAGGAAGAAATAAATAAAACTATGGCTTTAATACAGACGTGCCAATGACTCAATATAGTAGGCTACAGATCCTGCTAAATAATATACAGAACAGAAATATAAAAATATGGCTGCACTATTTCATTCATTGTGTAACACTGAAGAAAGACATTCACCTGTTGCATGCGTGAGAAAGAACAGGAAACCCTCACTGCTGCAGAACAATAGTGAGGCAGCTGGATGTACAACTCAATTTATTTTTCTGAGCGTTAGCATAGTTTTATTTAAGATAAATCATTAAATAGAACGGAAGTCATGAGAAAGCAGTACAATACTGTATGTTTACATTTTCTGAATATGATGCAATACAGAAAACGAATAGTTTACATTTAGGATTTAAGTTTTGTTTCAGTGTAAACAAAATTTGTTTGCAGTGTTAAAATGCTATAGATTATCATTTAACTATCTTCTGGGACCCGCTGTTGAAATCAATGAAGTAATGCTTATTTTTCCACTTAACATGGGTTGAAGCTACATATAACAGCAGCTCACACTGTGAAATGTATCATAGCAACAAGTCTGGCAAGGAAATATTTGTAATTTCAATCTCCCAGCATGCCAAAGTCACACAATATGGTCACTGCCGACTGACAACATGCTGTTTTAGATCAAATTTTGCAATCTTCAGGTATTTGATCTGTAGTTTTCCCCTAATTCTTAGATATTTAGTGATACAAATACTGCAACATTGCAAAAAATAAAATATGAGACACTATAGAATCTGAATGTTGCAGAAATGCATACTTAACAGTCAACAATTTTTAATGTTATTCACACAACCAAGCCAATTCAGTAAATCATAGCTGGATTACACTTTATTATAGAGTGCAAGATGGTTGCTCTGAGAGGAACAGACTAAAGCTTCTGTCTTCTAGCGCACTGAAAAAGCTTTTATAGAGGTCAAAGCAATTGCACTGCAAGCTCATAACTATGTATTTAGAGTTACTTTATAGGGGAGTCTGCGAGGTGGAGGAATATTACAGGATGACAGAGGAAAGCTCTGAGATTAACATATCAGAATTTCAGCCTTCTAACTAGCTAGGAAAACATTGAGACAGTTAAATCATATCGCTGTATTTTGAAAATGTGAAATTTTGTAACCCTAAAAGCAATTTGCAATTTTGCAGTTTTACACTTCTCTAAAATTCACCCCAAAACAACATATGCATAAACATCATTAATTTTTGGAAACAGTGGCTTCCTAAAAACATATTTAAGGAGAAAAATCCAAAATGCAACTTCAGATGAAGGTCTCAAGATGACAATCACAATTCAGTATACAATAAGTGCCAGAAAAAAGACCAGTTGCAGTACAAATATTACAATGATTTTCATCTAAAATTCAAGATGCAGAGAAACTGAAAATTACACTGCAGCATCCAAAAGGCCAAAGCAAACAAGTAGAATTATGTGCATCTATAATGCACTGAGAAAACTGTAGGAAAGAGCTGATAATAATAACTCCTATAATGGCCATCCAGATAGATCTGATACATATAGCCTTGAACTTTGTTCCTTCTTCCAACGAGCATAACAACAACATTCTGCTATCAACACTCTAGTAGCAGTTTTTCTTGCCCTAAATATGCCAGGAAGTTCTTTTGATCTGCCTCGCCCACCACGTAAAATGTGAATTTCTCAGGACAGCATGCCCCATGACACTGCTCTCTGAACTATTTTCATCCTTTTTTTATTTGTTTCAACAAAACACTAAAATATGTTGCACAAAGACCTCAGGGGGGAAACACAGACTTGGGGACCGATATTAGTGGATTCTGTAAGGCTGAGTCATCTTCCTCACCTCAACATGTATAAATAGCAAAATCAATTGGACATATTCTTTAGTGCAACAATAGAATGAGACGCATTTCATCTACCAAAATAGATCTCCATTATTCTATTTTAGTCTCGATTAAATGCTTCATTACTACTAGCAAAGAGGTTAAAGAGAACGTTGCCATTTCAAATATTGCATTTTTAGGGATAGTTAACCTAAAAATGAAAATTGCCATCATTTACTCATACTCATTTAGTTCCTAATGTGTATGACTTACGTTTTCTGTGGAAAACAATAGAAGACATTTAAAAAAAATGTCTCAGAGCCAAAGGGTTTAATGTTATTTTTGACCTCTTTCATTTTATGGACAAAAACAGCTGAAACATTCTTAAAAATATCTTATTTTGTGTTCAGCAGAAGAATCTGATCTTTTAAACCAGATTTTGTGTGGAAGGAACATCCACAATTCAAACCTAATTGCAAGTACATAAATAGCTCCGTTTGCTATGTGAGAGAAGTCAGAACCTCATTGTCTTGACAACCGTGAGAAAGACGGAGCTGGAGCTTCAATAAGTGATACATCTCTCCTCATTGCAACAACAGAAAAAAAAAATATGTATGATTCACAGATCGAAAGCATACAAACTGAAAACCACATATGATCTCACTAAATTCTTTGTGGCTGTGCATCTAACGGCCTCTAGAGACTCAGCCTGTTCTGAATGGCCATAGAAATCCTGGACTCTCCTTCACCACCCTGGCTGCGGAGTGTCTCATTGTCGAACAGAGCGAACATTAACATATAAATAACCCTCTTCTTCTTCTCTGAATCTGTGGCGGTGCAGCTTAGGAGGGTCTGGAGAATGAATGACTCTCTTAGTCACAGAGATTTGTGCATTTCTCTGACTGCTGCCTTTAGCAACCAGCCCACTGGGTCAGTGTCCGCACCCCCGCACGTACTGGCACTGAATGCGAGACTAGTCAGAGGGCAGCTTCAGTTATTGCCCCACCTAGGCCTGGGAGGGAACGAAACGCTGTCCGGAGAGAAAGAGAGAGCGAAAACTAACAAAGTAACAACAGTGAGTTTTGTTCTGCAAAATTACATTCCTCTATACTCCTTCTCGCACAAGCTTGCCCGGCCCACAGAGGTCGCGAGATCAAACGTACCCAAACATAATGAATCATTATGAGAAAAAGGTGTGGATATGGAGAGGTGAATCAGATGATTAACCTGTTTTCAGAACAACTTGAACTTTGAAAATTCTGGATAGGGAGCGTCCCATCTGTGTCAGTTTGGATTAAAGGGATAGTTCACCCAAAAATTAACATTTTGTCATCATTAACATATCCTCTTGCCATTAAAAGCTTGTTTAACTTTCTTCTGTTGAACACAAAATAAGACATTTTGAAAATTACCCTTGTTTGTTCATATAATGAAACTCATTGGGGTCCAGTGTTGTTTTGGACCCCATTGACTTTCATTATATGAACAAAAGCAGACAATTTTCTTTTCAAAATATCTTATTTTATGTTTCACAGAAGCCAGTCAGTCATACAAGTTAGTAACAACGTGAGAGTGTATAAACTCTGAAAAAAAGCAAGACTAAACAGTCTCATGTTGTAACAATGAGGGCGGTGTGTATATATGCGAATAATTATGCATTTGATACAAAACTGATCTTTGTTTTGTGAAATATTTTGCAGTTTATAGCATGCATAGTTCCGCCCCCAATCTGGCGTTTTTCAAAGCCCAGCCTGTGGTGTTGCGGTTAAATCCACTGCTTTGTTATCCTGATCCTTCGTGCTTGTGGCAGTGGATTCAGGAGTAATGGCTCCGATGTTTCAAATGCACCTTACTGATGTGATTTCATTCATGATTCACCTAATGCTCTGCCTGCTAGCACACAAATCCGTATGCTATAAGCTGCAGTGTGAGCGTGCTTGCTTAACAACATGTTAAAGCTACAGAAAATGCTAAAAGAGTGCCATTTGATCTCCTGGTATAAGCTTCATCTTTGAAACCCTATAGACAGAGCAAAAAAGCTTCTGTCCGAAGTAACTAGAGGTCCTGCTACTGTTTGAATCAGCAATTCAAAACCTTTTGAACAATGGTCTTTCCAATTGTTAATGATTACTGGATAAGGATGATTAAAATCATTTTAAAGAGACTGCAAAACAGAAGTTTCTAGTGGATAAAAAAATTAGTCTGAGGCTGAGCATAACTAGAAATAAATATACTTATAAAAATTAAACTGATACATAAAAAAATAAATCATGGCTTAAGCTGACAACTAGTTTGATTTTATATCTGATAACTGATAAATATCTGATATTAAATCTCTATACTATTTTTGTACATAAATTAAAAATTATATTTTTTAATGCTACAGTGAACATTGGGCACAATATTAATAGCAAATCTAAAAAAAACATATTTAGCAGTATTATTAATAAATTATTAAGTCAATAATTACTTAAAGTGCTACAGTGAATATTGGCATCACAATATTGACTAAAAATCTGAAAGAAACTTTATTTGATAAAAATGACATTTAACAGTATTATTACATTTTTAATAGCTTCAACTGATAATTATTTTTATACATGGCTGATATTAAAAGTCTACATTATTCTTGCACCCCAAACATAAAAATGTAAACTATTTGAAATGTTACAGTACATTTTGACAATATTAATTAAAAACATGAAATAATCTTTATTTGATATATAATTTTTAACTATTTAACAAATTATTAATGTTATTAAATGTTACTGTTAAATTAAAAATAAACTTTGAGTGTTATATAATCTAAAAAGTAAAAATAGATGGAATTAAGAATGACAAACAAAAAAATAAACATCACTAATATTATCTGATAACCCCATCAAAACTTTCTAATATATTCAAGTTTCCTCTTGAATACTCCTGTGTTTATTTTGCCAGACAGAGAGCATAAATAGTAGTTTTGCTATCATAACAGAAACACCACATACTGTAAATCTTACCTAACATGGAGGTTCCCTCTGGTGGATACTCTGGGAACTGTCCTTCAGAGGGCACACTAACTGTCCTTCTCAGGCTGCGAACCTTTGATGAGGATGCTGTGGGGCTTTCACGGACCTCAGATGGCATCTGGGAACAAGTCAGAGGTCAGTGGGTGGAGGTCACAGGGGTACACATTCTAACAGTGGGCCAGAAAGCCCCTTTTCCTGACAGCGCTACTAATTAACTAACCGTTTAAACGAATCTGAAAGCAATCCGTCAATCAGAAACTATTTCAATAAATTAAGTGAATTGATTATTCTCTTTCATAACCTCAAGATGAAAGTTGGTTTGCTTGCACAGCAAGAGTAATGTGCTGGAACTCGTTAAAAAAAGAGAACAAATCATTAAACTGTGCAAAATGAGTCTCTTTTAACTATCAAGACCAATTTGGATGGGACTAGTTTTCCTTAAAGGGATAGTTCACACAAAATAGTTCACCCTCAAGTTGTTCCAAACCTGCATGAATTTCTATCTTCTGCTAAACACAAAAGAAGATATTTTCAAAAATGTTGCTAACCAAAGTTTCTGGTCCCCTTTGACTTCTATCAACAGTTTTTACCAACATTCTTTAAAATATCTTCTTTTTAGTTCTGCAGAAAAACAACAACATGAGAGTGAGTAAATGACGACGGAATTTTCATTTCTCAAAAACAACTGACCCTGTAAGGAGGTCAGGTAAATTTACTTTGTGATTTTATTCGAATCACACACGTAACTGTCTGGAAAACTAATCCCATCCAAATCAAAATTACATCCGCAAACGACGCATTTAACCCTCACAAGGGGAAATGTACAACAAAGCACAAACATCATCTGCGTGTCTTCATTTAACTGTCCTTCGCTCTCCATTCTGATGGAGAGGAAGAGAGAAGAATGAGGGGATAAAGCACAGGGAAGGAGCGCTCTTACCTCTTCCTCCTTGTTGAGCAGGATGAGCTGGCTATCGGTCAGGATGCAGTACTTCCTCTCCCAAGCGCAGGGCTCCGTGAACGGCGACTGGCCGCAGGAGAAGCGGTGGCTGGGCGGCCCCTTCACATCTGTGCACAGGGGACAGAAAAAACACCTCAGAATGGGTTGCCACAAAAAAGGACCACCACAAAAACAGGCTCTCTTCATGTCAGCTATGATTCTCTTCAGACTAAAACTATTATATATTATTAACTTTTAATGAGACTTCCAAAATATGCGGCTACATATTCCCCTCACAGCTTGCAGAAATAGACAAGGGCCCTCAGAGAGGCACAGACTCTCTTCTCTTCTTTATTTAATCACCAGTTCACCTCACAAAAATAGACTCTGGACAATGATGCTGCTCGTAAGAAAATGAGTCACGCTGGACTCATTAAACGCTGCTTTGAGCAATTTCTGCATCACTAGCAGCATCAAATGGATTTGTAAAAATAACAACGGTCTCCACAACTGTCCTCCACTGTTAGGACAAACAGCTAGTGCGGTCTCAAATGTATCTCATTGGCAGAAAGCTGCTTTCAGCATTTCTGATTGGATAATACAATGCTGCAATTACATTCATAAATGTGTCAGGTAACAAAAAAAAATCAAGTATATATAAAATACTACACTACTGTTCAAAGGTTTGGGGTTGGTTTTAAAAATATTCTGTAATGCTTTTTAAAAAAAAGTATATTATGCTCACCAAGGCAGCATTTATTTTGCATTTGTTTAAAAAAAAGTAACAGTAAAACAATAAAGCTGAATTTTTAGTATCCATAACTCATAAATCATTCTAATATGCTGATTTGGTGCTCAAGAAATATTTCTTATTATTAACGCTGAAGACAGTTTTGCGGCTTAATATTTTTATGGCAACTGATGCATTTTTTCAAGATTATTTGATTTAAAAAAAGAAAATCCAAAAGAACAGCATTTATTTTAAATGGAATCTTTTTCTTTACATCGTTAATGAATTTAATGTACCCCTTCTGAACTAAACTATGAACTTATAAAAATTAATTTATTAAAATAATTTGAACAATTACTGACCGCACACTTTCACTATTTGACTTTTGAGTAAAACAGAATATTCAACCAGAAAAAAGCAATGCAAAATTGTATTTATTCTAAATGAGAGTTTATCTATTGGTAATTGACTGGACTGAGAAAAGCGGACTTCGGCGGGTGGCTGGGAAGGGTTGAAAAAGAAAAAGGGATTGGTGATGTCACATTGTGATTAAAAGATTGCAAAGACTCTTTTTTCGAAATAACTTGCACAATAAGTTATAAACTTTGATTTCACTTTTGAACAGCTGTAATTGAACTGTATGGTGTTCTGCACACTGCTGCCTGTAGAGGACAGTGTTATACTAGTTTACAGTGTTGCTCATGTGCTCAAGCAATCCACCTTTTTCACAGGATTCAATCTCAGTGGGAGAAAATGACACCAGGAAGCTCATAATTCTTTGCATCTCTCTCAGAGCAAACAAACAAACCCTGTTAGGGGAAACATCTGCTTTTTGAAAGCAAGAACTGAGGGATTCGATGCGTTCTAGGTCACCTTCAGAGCGACACTGAGTGTATTTTGGGAACGATCACATATCAACATACCAACGAGTGGAAGCACTTGTCAGAAAACATTACTGACAAAAAGCCTGGTGGTCCTCCTTGTCTATTAATTGATCATTTAGACCTTCGCTAAGCTTCATTAATCAGTTCTGGCTGACAGTTTTGCTGTACGGTTGACCAGACCGAGACACAGAAAGAACATGTCAGGACTCAAGGTCAGAGGTCAGCCCGCCCTGATGTCACTCTGGATCAGCCGACTGGGCCAATAGTGGCAGCACTTCAGTTTTTCCCAGGACTCATGACTAAATTAACACCACACAGACGCAGAAGAAAGTGACGCAATGTGTCTCAAGAGGACGGGTGACTGCTGCATCCCCGCTCAGTTTATTGAACGCAGTCATCTTGCCCACGACTTTTCCACATAAGCTATCAGCCTAAAGCAATGCTATGACGAAAATTCACAAGGGGGAAAGAAAAAAAACATTAGTTCTTTGAACAATGTGAGATGAGGAGATGAGTGGACAGAGAACTGATAGAAAGATTCAGAAAGAGAGCCAACTGATCAAAATAAAGACCTAGAAAAAAAATACACTGCGAATAGAGCTTGGTGGTCTTATTTATGTTTGATATAAATTAGGTATTTTTTCAGTAAAGTATTTCAGTAATATAGCACAAGTTGCTATAGATTCAAAATGTTTATTGTAAAAATGAAAAAAAAAAAAAGTTAAAAATAAAGCAACAATTATTTAATAATTAAAAAAATATATATTTTTTATTATTTTATTCAGCAAGGATGCAATATTTGATCAAAATGTCGGTAAAGACATCTGTTACATTTCTATTTCGGACAAATGCTGAACTTTCTATACTATTCTATATCTTGAAAAGATGTTTCATGGTTTCCACAAACATATGAAACTGTTTTTTAACATTTGATAATAAGACGACATTTTTGAGCACCAAATCAGCATATCAGAATGATTTCTGAAGGATCATGTGACCCTGAAGACTGGAGCAATGGCTGCTGAAAATTCCACTTTGCCATCACAGAAATAAATTACATTTTGAAATGTATTAAAATATAAAACAATTTTAATTAGTAATAATATTATTTCACAATATTCAGTGGCTTTACTGTATTTTCAAATAAATACAGTTTGGGACTAAAACCAATTCCAAACTTCTGAACACTAGTGCATTTGAACAATAACATTATATACAAATTGAAGAAATACATTATTTTTTTTTAATTATGAATCAAATCAAACATAGAATAGGTTTAGAAATGAATCAAACTTACCAAATCATTTAAATGTTGTTTTTGCTAATAAATCTTAAACCAGAAATGCTATTAAGATTCACTTGGCTCTCTGTACACTTACATTTTATGGAAAAAGCAGCTTGGACAAACTGCTCCTTTTATTTTCCATGGAAAAAGTCAAATGAGTCATGAATGACATGAGGTTGATTAAATGATGACAGACATATACTTTTGAGGTGAATTATCTCTTTAATTTAAAGCCATTCACAGTGTTGATTATATTATATCACCAGACATTGATCATCATGAATACCTTGTGACTACTGGTAATATCACCCAGCCCTAGGTGTGAGCAAAAGAGTTCAGGAGAGATCGAGCTCAACACTGACAACGACACAAACGGTTCTTCTATTTACTGCTCTGCAAACAAGCATACAACTGTGCAAACAGACATGCTTTAATGGGTGTTTGGATAAGTGCTGGAAGGCAAACGAGGGAGACTGGCGGTGCTCCACTCAAAACGGCTGCGGAAAGATGGAGGTGAAATGTGTGGGAGTGAAGGGAGCCGGTCCAATCTAAAGCCTGTCTGTTTGAGACGACAGCTCGCGCTTAGCAGCACAGTGGCAGCATATAACATATGGACGGGTGAGATAAAGTGACTTCTCCAGAGATCTCATAAGCCATTAAGATACGTGTGAAGCTGTTGGGAAAGCAGGTGACAACTCCATCTGATGGAACACAATATCTTCCATAATTATCTACGCATACTGAGACTCTCCAGGCACGAGAGATTTGAAAATAACCCTGTTCAATAACACCAATATTTGCATTACAAATGTGTAAATTGTGCGCTGCTAGCATCTGAATTTCAAAAATAGTTGTCTATTTTAATCTCTGTGTATCAGTGTTATTTAAACCTCATCAACCAGCATCATCCACTGACTGTCAATGCAGCGACGAAGGAGATTTATTTCAGGAATTTTAATTGCATCCCGTACAGATTCACTGCCTCGGCGTTCACCTGCGCCTGTTCATACCAGCTATGTGCAAATCACGGCTTCTCTCTGGGGAGAGTAAAAGGCCAGTGAACAGTGAGAATCACAGATATCTCTCAAAACCAGCAGATGGAACAGCCTCTCAAAGCCCTTTATTCTTGCCATTGGAAAGAACTCAACAGTGTTTTCAGAGCTGAGAATTCTCACTGAACTAGTCTTGATTGCATATGGGAGGCTATACACTGCAGATTCATTTATTTGACTTAATTTGCAGGAATGCTATGCAGAATTATGACAACTATTTAAAAGCTTTAGAAAACCTTGGATAAACTAATTCTCTGGTAAAATGCAACATACAGGGTTGCCACCTTTTTTGAAGCTAAGTATTTCTATACTCTTTCTAGTTGTTCATGATTGCACAATTATTTTTTACAGTAATTGAATAGAGGTTGTTCCATTTGCATTTTGGGTACCAATTATTTGAATTAATAGATTTTAAAGAAATATATTTATTGGCATACAAAAAGAATCAAAAGAGACTTTAATTGCAGCTCAGTGAGGATTCAGCTTCCTGAGGCTCCGTGTACAGCATCAACTTTACATGATTTTTAACACTATATTAATTTTTTAATGAAATTTTAAGGCCTGGTAATTTATATTTTTACAAAATCCATTAATATTTTAGGTTTTCCATGATTATGGGAAACCTGAATGTAAGCTCCATTAACAACATCTTGGGCACATTGCCAATTATTACAGAAAAAAATTTAATTAAAATTAAATTACAAAATAAAAACAAATGTAATCAAATAAAAACAATGTAATCTTTAAAGGTGTCTAAACCAGCACTTTGCAGTCTCAGCAAACTTTTAAGGGGGCCTCGAGACGACATGAATTATTTTAAATAAGACATTAAATTAAGCATTACACAAGCATTAAATTAAGTTAAAACAACTAAAAATCAAGCAATTTCTTTCTTTCTTTCTGGATGAACCAGGGTTAAAGTTATTTAAAAAATGGATATAAGAAAATATCACTTTTAGACCTGGAAATGTCATGTAAATTAATTAAATTGTCCATGTGCTTTTTCTAGAAAAAATTCTAATTATGTCTGGTCTGAATCCTTTTAAATTAAAGGGGTCATATGATGCGATTGAAATTTTTCCTTTCTCTTTGGAGTGTTACAAGCTCTTGGTGCATAAAGAAGATCTGTAAAGTTGCAAAGACTAAAGTCTCAAATCCAAAGAGATATTCTTTATAA